ATCAGATTCAAACACATATTGATTTAATCTATTACCCTCCTCTCTTTGGGCTGCATGTAACACTGTGATTAAAATCAAGTTTATAAAAGTTTTATTAAAATATACAATACAGGCAAATACACTGAAATTACGTCCTCAAAATTGACTCTATTAACAAGCATTTTCCAGACTCTTACTATGTCCCTCTTCTTTCATAACTTAGAATCAGATCTCTTGTGGCATCTGAAACAATAGCTCTACAATAGAAAAAAATATCTTTAAAATTGCTTTTCTCACAGCATATAGAATAGCTTGCAGAACATGTTATTCTATGAATACAAGCATCTTCATGGAAATTGAGTAATAGTCCTGCAGATATAGCCTATATTTTCTCTTATTTTCAGACTTTTTATAAGCCTCCCTACATATGTCTGTTACAGATGTCTCTCCCTCTAATTCTGAATTTGGTGTTGGTCAACAGTCCATTATGGCTGATGGAGCTTGGGAAGGAAAGGGGAAAGGAAAAAAATAACAAAGCTGGTTTTCCTATAGCCAAAAAATAATACAACCAAACAACAGTAAGGATCTGATCCAGCACAATCCTTTGAGTGACTGTGACGAGACCAATCTCGCCACATTGCATTGGAGAAGCCTGGTTGCTCGCCTGCTGCCTTTGGACTATGGCCCCCTTTTAAAAGACTTTATTTTTGCCTGCAGAAAAGCTGTATTTGTGCTTTTCTGCCTGGGTTTCAGTAGATTTGTTTGAATGTGTTATACCCCAGATGGGAATCCCATGGAGCCCATTCGTATGAAACTGACTGTAAAGACTTTGGCTCCATGGTGATTAAACTGTATTTGTGTGGTCTGAGCGCCATTCGCTTAATAATGTGCGCTCGGACCTGAGCTATCTGGGGATATGTTACATGTCTGTGTTTTATGTAATAAATGTGACTTTATGTATTTAAAGTGTTTTGTGTCTTTTTGCAACCATGTGCTTAATGGAGTCTTGTGTCTGTCCTGGGAGATAATTCAATTACTTATCTCCAGGATAGAAGACTCTGAAACTGGTTTGTGCCAGAAAGCCATGCTTCATTTAGTCACAAAGGACTTTTTACTAACTGTTGAACCCCTTGTCTGATTTGTGCCATTTTTGAATATGTTGTTCCCCTGAATGGATTGATTGAGAATGTGTAATTTTATGTGAATGTGATGTATGGTTTTGGAGTTATGAAAGTTGGGTAGAAAGTATGTTTTAACTGTTTGTATAATTGAGTTTCCTCTCAGGATAAGGGGAGGGAATATGTGGGATGTAACTGTGATATGATTGGTTGTTTTATCCCTCCCTGTAGGTGGTCCTGTATTTGAAACACTGTAATAAAAACCAGGCTGGGTGTGCCAGCACCTCAGACCACTGCTTGACCCTCAACACGGAGCCTTGTCTCGTTCTTGGGGGGATTCACTGTATGCTGTTAGAGACTGATTGCCAGGAGTGTAAGCTGATTGTCTGCTTTTCCTGTTCGTCTGCTAGCAGCTATTTGGGAGGTTCCAGTTCGGGAGTTGGAGTGCTATTTTGTATCCAGTTCGGGAGTTTGGTGTTCTGCAGTAGCTGTGCTTGTATCTCTGGAAAGGGGGCCGATCGCCTAAACGGTTTTTACCCTTTGTGTGCAAAACGGTCCGTTACAATTGGTGGCAAGCGGCGGGATCATTCCTACAGCCAGAAGGACAGCTACAGGAGACACCATTTCTTTGGATTTACAAGTGGGGGCAATGCATGTCCCAGTACAGCGACCCTAAAAGCAACAGAATGGAACCAGCAGTGTTATACAAGGAGGAGGACCTGGATGGCCGGGATGCATTAAGGAAAGGCATCTGGTACCAGGCCCTGGATAATGTACAATACCAGCGGGGTGAGAGTCTCCCCAGTGAAGAGCAGCGGTTGCAGAAGCAAGTGGCCCTGCGGATGCCCTTCCTGGGAGAGCAGCCCCTGGAGGAATGGGTGAAGGAACTAGAGCATCGGTATGGCAGGAGCTATGGCTGGAGGATGCCTACCAGGCGCTCTGGTGGTATATGGCACAGTATATACCCTGGACAGCTGAGCATGACAAGCCAGAGGGAGAGGAGTTTGATGGTCCTGGCTTGTTATGGGAGTCCTTTGCAGAGCCTGACTTCGGGAGCCCTGCGCAGAACAGACTTCAGGAAATTTTCTACGAGAGGGAGGCTAGGCATGACTGGGATGACCCCCATGAGGTAGAGCAAGACCTGGCTCACCTAGCAACCCTGGAGTGGGAACTGGAGCAGGACTACCGAGATCTCTTCCACTCCATTGGGAAGGCTCCGCAGGACAGCAGAGTGACAGATCCAGTCTCAGACCCATTCAGCTGGGAAGATATTGTTGAAATTTACTGGGAGGAACCCCAGGCGGCAGGTGGAGAGGGGACCGAGGTCTCTCCACCGGTATTGCAGGGAATTGGGAGCCCGAGCTCCATTCCCCAGCGGGAGATATTGCAGGGAATTGGGAGCCCAAGCTCCATTCCCCAGCGGCAGGCTGAGTTACAGGGGGCAGAGGTAGTTGTTCCTGCCCCCCAGCAGCAGAGTGATATGCCAGGAAGGCAGTGTGAAGTGCAGGGAGAGGAGAGCAGCGTCCTCCCTCCCCAGCGGCAGGCTGAGTTACAGGGGGCAGAGGTAGTTGTTCCTGCCCTCCAGCAGCCAAGTGATATGCCGGGAAGGCAGTGTAAAGTCCAGGGAGAGGAGAGCAGTGTCCTCCCTCCCCAGCGGCAGCGTGATTTTTTGGGAATTGGGAGCCCAGTCTCCATTCCCCAGCGGCAGTATGATGTTTTGGGAATTGGGAGCCCAGTCACCATTCCCCAGCGGCAGCACAGATTATTGGGAATTGGGAGCCCCGTCTCCATTCCCCAGCGGCAGAGTGTCCTACCGGGAATAGAGAGCCCAGTCTCCTTTCCCCAGCAGCAGGACACTGTATTGGGAGCAGAGACAGTCGGTCTCCCTGCACAGAGGATGAAAGTATGTATGGGAGAGGAGCTTGCTACCACCTCTCCCCAGCGGCGGATCATTAATGGGCAGGGAATAGAGAGCTCAGTCTCCTTTCCCCAGCGGCAGAGTGTTCTATCGGGAGAGGAGCCTGTTTCCCCCTCTCCCCAGCAACATCTTAGAGTATCCAAAGGGGAGACAGTCGGTCTCCCCCTCCGGCAGCAGAGCTGTGCAACAAAAGGGGAGACAGTCGGTCTCCAGCAGCAGAGCGGTGTATCTAAAGGGGAGACAGTCGGTCTCCAGCAGCAGAGCTGTATGTCTAAAGGGGAGACAGTCGGTCTCCAGCAGCAGAGTGGTGTAGTTAAAGGGGAGACAGTCGGTCTCCCCCTCCAACAACCAGGCTTCAACCAGGCTACCCTCCCAGTAGCGCTGGCAACAGGGCAGAGTGCCGCTGGTCTCTGCCCACACAGCAACCCACCAAGTCAGCGTACCCGTACCCAGCCCAGCCGTGGTGAGGCACCTGGACATGGATAAGCTTCTCCTTTACCCAGGTGTAGTAACCATTTATTGTGGGTGGGCTGTGCTGTTGATTATTTGTTGTGGGTGGGCTGCTGGACTAACAAGGGCACTGACCGGCAGGAGGTCAGATACCCTGTTAGTCTGTCTGGAAAAGGGGAGAGATGTGACGAGACCAATCTCGCCACATTGCATTGGAGAAGCCTGGTTGCTCGCCTGCTGCCTTTGGACTATGGCCCCCTGTTAAAAGACATCTTTTTTACCTGCAGAAAAGCTTCAGTCGTGCTTTTCTGCCTGAGTTTCAATAGATTTGTTTGAATGTGTTATACCCCAGATGGGAATCCCATGGAGCCCATTCGTATGAAACTGACTGTAAAGACTTTGGCTCCATGGTGATTAAACTGTATTTGTATGGTCCGAGCGCCATTCACTTAATAATGTGCGCTCAGACCTGAGCTATCTGGGGATATGTGAAATGTCTGTGTTTTATGTATAAATGTGACTTTATGTATTTTAAAGTGCTTTGTGTCTTTTTGCAACCATGTGCTTAATGGAGTCGTGTGTCTGTCCTGGGAGATAATTCAATTACTTATCTCCAGGATAGAAGACTCTGAAACTGGTTTGGGCCAGAAAGCCATGCTTCATTTAGTCACAAATGACTTTTTACTAACTTTTGAACCCCTTGTCTGATTTGTACCATTTTTGAATATGTTGTTCCCCTGAATGGATTGATTGTGAATATGTAATTTTATGTGAATGTGATGTATGGTTTTGGAGTTATGAAAGTTGGGTAGAAAGTATGTTTTAACTGTTTGTATAATTGAGTTTCCTCTCAGGATAAGGGGAGGGAATATGTGGGATGTAACTGTGATATGATTGGTTGTTTTATCCCTCCCTGTGGGTGGTCCTGTATTTGAAACACTGTAGTAAAAACCAGGCTGGGTGTGCCAGCACCTCAGACCACTGCTTGACCCTCAACACGGAGCCTTGTCTCGTTCTTGGGGGGATTCACTGTATGCTGTTAGAGACTGATTGCCAGGAGTGTAAGCTGTTGGTCTGCTTTTCCTGTTCGTCTGCTAGCAGCTATTTGGGAGGTTCCATTTCGGGAGTTGGAGTGCTATTTTGTATCCAGTTCGTGAGTTTTGGTGTTCTGCAGTAGCTGTGCCTGCATCTCTGGAAAGGGGGCCGATCGCCTAAACGGTTTTTACCCCTTGTGTGCAAAGCGGTCCGTTACAATTGGTGGCAAGCGGCGGGATCGTTCCTACAGCCAGAAGGACAGCTACAGGAGACACCATTTCTTTGGATTTTACAATTTGAGGGCAACGCATGTCCCAGTACAGCGACCCTGACAGCACCAGCATGGAACCAGCAGTGGAGTATGACGAGGGTGCCATGGATGACCGAGATGCAGTCCGTAAAGGCATCTGGTACCAGGCACTGGGTATTGTGGAGTACCAGTGGGGCAAGAGACTCCCCAAGGAAGACCAGCGGTTGCAGAAGCGAGTAGCCCTGCGGATGCCCTTCCTGGGAGAACAGCCCCGGGATGAATGGGTGAAGGAATTGGAGCACCGGGTATGGCAGGAGATTTGGCTGGAAGATGCCTACCAGGCGCTCTGGTGGTATGGGTCACAGTACCTACCCTGGACAGCCGAGCATGACAAGCCAGAGGGAGAGGAGTTTGATGGTCCTGGCTTGTTATGGGAGTCATTTTCAGAGCTCGAATTTGGGAGCCCTACACAAGCCCGGTTCAGTGATCTCTTGGAGTGGAGGGAGAGCAGGTATGACTGGGATGACACTCACGAAATTGAGCAAGACCTGGTCCACCTGGTAACCCGGGAGATGGAGCTAGAACAGGGCTACCAGCAGCTGTTCCAATACAGTGAGAAGGCGCAGCGAGAGAGCAGCATGACAGACCCAGAGCCAGACCCATTCAGAGGGGACGAGATGGTACAGTTTTACTGGGAAGAACCCCAGGTGGCCGGTAGAGATGGGACCGAGGTCTCTCCACCGGTCCTGCAGGGAATTGGGAGCCCAGTCTCCATTCTCCAGCGGCCGCGTGATTTATTGGGAATTGGGAGCCCAGTCTCCATTCCCCAGCGGCAGTGTAAAGTGCAGGGAGAGGAGAGCAGTATCCTCCCTCCCCAGCGGCAGGCTGAGTTACAGGGGGCAGAGGTAGTTGTTCCTGCCCCCCAGCAGCAGAGTGATATGCCGGGAAGGCAGCATAAAGTGCAGGGAGAGGAGAGTAGTGTCCTCCCTCCCCAGCGGCAGGCTGAGTTACAGGGGGCAGAGGTAGTTGTTCCTGCCCCCAGCAGCCAAGTGATATGCCGGGAAGGCAGTGTGAAGTCCAGGGAGAGGAGAGCAGTGTCCTCCCTCCCCAGCGGCAGCGTGATTTTTTGGGAATTGGGAGCCCAGTCTCCATTCTTTGGGAATTGGGAGCCCAGTCTCCATTCCCCAGCGGCAGCACAGATCATTGGGAATTGGGAGCCCCGTCTCCATTCCCCAGCGGCAGAGTGTCCTACCGGGAATAGAGAGCCCAGTCTCCTTTCCCCAGCAGCAGGACTCTGTATTGGGAGCAGAGACAGTCGGTCTCCCTCCCCCGCAGCTGGAAGTATGTATGGGAGAGGAGCTTGTTACCCCCTCTCCCCAGCGGCAGCTTAATGTACCAGGGGGAGACAGTAAGCCCCACAACCGTGCAGATGGGACCGTAGTCTCTACACTGCCAGCACAGGGGGTAGGGACGGTCGGTCCTGCCCCCCAGCGACAGGGCTGTTTAGCCAAAGGGGAGACAGTCGGTCTCCCCCTCCAGCAGCAGAGATGGGTAACCAAAGGGGAGACGGTCGGTCTCCAGCAGCAGGACTGTGCATCTAAAGGGGAGACAGTCAGTCTCAGCAGCAGCAGAGCGGTGTATTTAAAGGGGAGACAGTCGGTCTCCCCCTCCAACAACCAGGCTTCCACCAGGCTACCCTCCCAGTAGCGCTGGCAACAGGGTAGAGTGCCGCTGGTCTCTGCCCACGCAGCAACCCACCAAGTCAGCGTACCCGTACCCAGCACAGCCGTGGTGAGGCACCTGGACATGGACAAGCTTCTCCTTTACCCAGGTGTAGTAACCATTTATTGTGGGTGGGCTGTGCTGTTGATTATTTGTTGTGGGTGGGCTGCTGGACTAACAAGGGCACTGACCGGCAGGAGGTCAGATACCCTGTTAGTCTGTTTGGAAAAGGGGAGAGATGTGACGAGACCAATCTCGCCACATTGCATTGGAGAAGCCTGGTTGCTCGCCTGCTGCCTTTGGACTATGGCCCCCTTTTAAAAGACTTTATTTTTGCCTGCAGAAAAGCTGTATTCGTGCTTTTCTGCCTGGGGTTCAGTAGATTTGTTTGAATGTGTTATACCCCAGATAGGAATCCCATGGAGCCCATTTGTACGAAACTGACTGTAAAGACTTTGGCTCCATGGCGATTAAACTGTATTCGTGTGGACTGAGCGCCATTCACTTAATAATGTGCCCTCAGACCTGAGCTATCTGGGGATATGTTACATGTCTGTGTTTTATGTAATAAATGTAACTTTATGTATTTTAAAGTGTTTTACTGTCTTTGTGTCTTTTTGCAACCATGTGCTTAATGGAGTCTTGTGTCTGTCCTGGGAGATAATTGAATTACTTATCTCCAGGATAGAAGACTCTGAAACTGGTTTGGGCCAGAAAGCCATGCTTCATTTAGTCACAAAGGACTTTTTACTAACTTTTGAACCCCTTGTCTGATTTGTGCCATTTTTGAATATGTTGTTCCCCTGAATGGATTGATTGTGAATATGTAATTTTATGTGAATGTGATGTATGGTTTGAGAGTTATGAAAGTTGGGTAGAAAGTATGTTTTAACTGTATGTGTAATTGAGTTTCCTCTCAGGATAAGGGGAGGGAATATGTGGGATGTAACTGTGATGTGATTGGTTGTTTTATACCTCCCTGTGGGCGGTCCTGTATTTGCAAGACTGTAATAAAAACCAGGCTGGGTGTGCCAGCACCTCAGACCACTGCTTGACCCTCAACACGGAGCCTTGTCTCGTTCTTGGGGGGATTCACTGTATGCTGTTAGAGACTGATTGCCAGGAGTGTAAGCTGTTCGTCTGCTTTTCCTGTTCGTCTGCTAGCAGCTATTTGGGAGGTTCCATTTCGGGAGTTGGAGTGCTATTTTGTATCCAGTTCGTGAGTTTTGGTGTTCTGCAGTAGCTGTGCCTGGATCTCTGGAAAGGGGGGCCGATCGCCTAAACGGTTTTTACCCCTTGTGTGCAAAACGGTCCGTTACATGCATTGTGATTGGTTCTCAGTTATGTCACTCTTTTCTTTGCTGCTATGGAGTTAGTAAAGAAAGATAATGCAAAATACGAAGCCTCCTGTCATGTGATAAAATTGTATTTTAGATATATTGTTGGGAGTTTGCCTCTTGGAAATTAACTAATTTTCTTGTGTTGTTTTTATATCCCAGCAGATTGAGCTTGATAAAAAAACACTGATTAGCAGGATAAAACACACTATTTACTTTGATGTTGTTTAGATCAATAACTCTAAAATGTGGTGAATGTCCTTATATCACCCCATCTCTAATTTCTTAGAGTATTATCGTGGTATGATCATCCTCAGATTCATTGCTCACACTCATGACTAATGATACAAAACACCTGGATGTTCCTTATAAATCAGATTAAAACATTAAAAAGAACCACTTCAGATATAACTCTGGATTAAACAAAATTAATTTACAGCACACACAAAAAAATACATTTTAAAATTTTACAAGGTTACTTAAAATCGCCTATTTCAAGAAGCAAACATGGGAATTCAGTTACACCATATGGCCATATTGTGTTAAGCCCACCACTACTTCACAGTACCCAAATATTGGTGGGTCCTACGCTAATTTCAATATGGGAGACAAAGTAAATAGTGTTAGTGCTAAATAAGCTAAGGTGTATTTAAATAATCTGTTGTAAGAGCATTGTGAATATAAATAAAATTAAAAATGAATGTGATAACTCAATTAAGGAGGGCGGAGCTAGGCCTTTAAGCAGGACAGACATCTGTAAAGCATGCTCCTTCTGCAAGGGTCAAATTGTGGGTGCTAAACCCAAAAAAAAAGCTAACCTATCTACCATATCACACCGCTTATGCTCGGAAATCCCAGGTGATGCATTGAGACCTCCACGAGAACTCCACCGGGAACCAGAGAAAGTAAGCTGAGACCTACGGGGGACGAGACAGAAAAGTGGCGGCCGATCTCCTGATCACAGTTTCCACAAAGGGCTCCACAGTGCTCCTACTCCTCCACCCTCTGGACCGGTGGGGGTTATCCTGATCCCCACTGAATCTCTTTTGGGACATTGATACTGCACTTACTGTTTGATTAGAACTTACCAGATACTGCACAGAGTTTACTATATCCCTACAAAATGGCAGACGCATCTTTTGCTGGCAAACAGGGCCTGAGCCCTTCCCAACAAATGTACTACCACTCGATTGAAACCGAGCTGGATGAGATCTTTAAAGCCTTCTGGCTGAAGCTCTCTGAGCATATGAATGCACCTCCTCTTAAGTCAATAGTTGATGGAAGGAGAACAGTGGTGCCAGTATAAAGCGGCAGCATAACCAGCCAAAAGCCGCTCTGCTTTAACGTATACCGACCAAGGCCGAGAGCCTCAAGAGGCCATACCGCTCTACATCACACATGGGTCAAGGTTAATGCACCACAGGTGGTGATACACCAAGTCTGTGGATTCGTGGATGCTGGCCCTCAGAATGGCCTGGGACTGGCTGGGAGACCTGACCCCACAAGGAATTGCAATTGCCCACATGTATTCTCTTGGACGCACTCCTGCCTTGTCACTCCTGCCTTGTCAGAGGGATTGGCTGATCGAGGTTTTGGGACATAACATGCCTCACATATGGACCTTGTGCTGGCATTTGTCATTCTCTCTGTTATTCATTATAAATGGCCAGTTAATGTTTGCTCTACCTCTCATACCCTTACAGCTATCAACCTGCTTAGTGCAGCTGCTCGTTTCAGTGGAGAACTTTCCTAGTTAATTAAGCATTTACATTGCCCTCTAACAGATCATCTTATACCTATTGTGACCCAACATTAATGCTATCTACCAGTCTGCTAGACCTTTAATGCTTTGAGTAACTCTAAGAGGGTTAGCATGTAACCTAAAGGACCACTATAGGCACCCAGACCACTTCAGCTTAATGAAGGGGTCTGGGTGCCAGGTCCCTCTAGGGCTAACCCTGCTTGCTGTAAACATAGGAAGCCCGGTGCTAGAGAAAGGTGAGTGTTTAACCCCCTTCCTCCACCTTCAGCCCGGCAGGAGGGGGACCCAGAGGGTGGGGGCACCCTCAGGGCACTATAGTGCCAGGAAAACGAGTTTGTTTTCCTGGCACTATAGTGGTCCTTTAACTTACTTTTACATACTGTAATACAAAAGTGCAACTATTATGAACATTAAATAACTGTACTCTACAACCTATTTAACTATACATGTGAATGCTGAGATGACTTATTAAGCTTCATGTTATCGTTTGCACAATTTACGTTTTATATCCAAAAAAAAATTACCTGCTATTTTATGACCTGCTTGCTCTTGATGTAACTTCCCGCTTAATCTGTATTGTCATGCATTTTTCCTGCCTCAATAAAAGAAAGATTGATAAAAAAATAAAAAATAAAACTCAACTAAAAAAATGGAGTGCCAAAAATAAACTGTTAAAGGACC